ATAGAATAGCTAGTACCAACTTCAGCGGCTTTGATTACTCTGCCGTAGTCATTAAAAGTGAGTTTGTATTCTAACCTATCGCCTTGGGATACTTGATAGAAAGGCATGTGACTATTTAGTAATTCAAAGTCTGGCGGAATATAGAATCAGTTACCTAATGCATCAGCAACAGCCTTATCTCCCACGACGGTATTATCAGCACCTACACGCACCTACACGCAGTCTCAATGTGTTCTGATTACAAATACCTTGGTACTGTAAGTTTTCCCGTTCTTTAGCCGTTCTCAAGAGATCCATGTAACAGAAATATACATCGCTGTCGTCAATACTCAAAACTTCATTACCGCTAATTTTGATTTTCTTAACAATCGCATGACCTATGTTCTGAACGAGCTCTCTGCTAGCGTCGGTAGAATTCAAACCAATTGTAAATGATAGTCGTGCTGTTCCCGGAACTAAGACATCGTGTGCGCCGAAATTAGGAAAGCGAACCAGAAGTGTTTGATTCTGATCAATGGTACATGGGTTATTAGTTATAGTTACAGACTGACGAATTGCTTTGACCCCTAATGGATCCCGAAGTCTACGTTGTGGGTTTAACTTGCATCTGTATTGTGAAGACATTGTAATCTTGAAGTTATGTAACCTTATGTTTAATATACAAATGGACAATTTTAATCTAGATAACTTAACTGATACTAGTACAATCGAAGAAGGTACTGATGAAACCAGCTTTATGAATCTTAACGATGAACTTTTGCAATCAACCGTTAATGATTATTACTATGCCTTAAAAGAAAGCCCAATAGGTTCAAAGTTTACGATAGATAGTAAAGGAATAATGCAACTGCGTGGCTCTCTGGATATTGATCTTATGAATTCTCGTACTCGTAAGCCCCTAGCCGTGTCAACACGGCATCAACACTGTTCATAATGAATAAGGTTTTGTAGACTACTCACGAGAAAAACTTTCTGCAAAGACTTCGAAGGTTCTTAAGACTGCGTGCTGAACTCGGTACCATAGATAAAGATAATTTGGAAGAAAGCTCGAGGCTGGCCTCAGATGAACTCGGAGAAATCTTGGATACCTACTACAATAATTCCACGTTACAGGTACCATCCTCGGAGTTCAGTATTAGGGAATTACAAGGTCTTGACAAGGCAATGCAAACAATGCGGGGAGAACTCATCAATAATATAGCCAAGCTATCTGAACTCGACAAGCATATAGCTTATGAGAAAACAAAACTTGAACAGGCAGGCGATGAATTCAGTAGACGCCGCGTTGCTGAAAGATTGCGTAACTTAGAAGACGAAAGATCAGCCCGCCTCGAAGCAGCTTCCAGTAATAGAAAGGCACTTCGTTCACGAATCAGTCGAATTCGAGAAAGTATCGATCAAGTCCTCAACGATGACACTACACTGGCCGATAAAATTTAAACATTGTTCAGAGAACAGGGATAACCATTGTCAGTATTTTAACCGCATTGGGATTTATTAAATCGACTTCGACTCTTGCGTTAACCGGTGGCAGCGGACCATCCACACCCCCTAGTGATAAAAATGGTTTAAAAGGGTGGATAAAAAAGCATTTAAAGGCATTAGGAGAAGCACTGGGAAAGCCGCGTCTGCACTTCCTGGTATAATAGGGAGTATTGTTTCCCGGCTCTTGAATTTATTAGCTAAGACCACCACTTGGCTTAGTCAAAACTTGTGGGCACTGATAGTAGCAATTGCCGGTCTGTTGTATGTATCCGCTAAAGACTACTTATCCAAATCAGATCATTAAGAACTATTTATCCAAATCATGAGTAAACCAGCCGCGACTCCACCTACTATAAGCGCTGTTGTTTCATCGATATGTTGTTGATTTTTAGCGGCAATGTGTGGTGACACTTGTGGTTGTGCGTCAGTAGATGTGTTAATAGGAGCGTCAGTAGATATCTGTGGCTTTACTATTCCCGTTTGGCCTGTGTTTGTTTGCATTATTAATTCAGTGTGAATATCTGAATTTATACTTGGGTTTTGTTGATCGGTAGCAATAACAATATTATTATTATAACCGATCACTTGACCAATCTTAACTTCCATATTACTCAGAGACATGTATAGTCTACTTTGGATTGAGCGTACTGTAATACATCTTGATAACGCTTTATAGAAGATGGTATGTCAACTGGTGAATGGTTGATGAGTTTTTTAAACTAAATCATCACTTTCTTCTTTAACAGTTCTTTTTCGCTGTACGGAACACCTAGACCATGGTTAAGTCCTTTAATACGCCAATCTTTACTCATAGAAATATTAAATTCCTGATAAATACGCTCATACGCGAACCTATTGTACGGATTATTTGTGGAATTCCATGCTCGATCCAGCAGTAATGGGGCACTAATTATCCCCCGCCACGAAGTGAAAGGGGGATATAGGAATGGGTGCCGTCCGTCCGTCCGAAAACTTTGTCTGCGCGATTTCTCTTAAACCATTCAGTTGATTCATCTCAAACTTAGTACATATAATCTGTGTCATATGGAGGGGTGCAGTCAAAAGAAAAAAATTGTTTTTATTAATTTTCCGTTTTTTTAATGAATTTTTCAAACCCTAACCTTATCCATTATTTAATTTGAAAGTCTGACACACTAGGCGGGTCAGGGGTATTAGTGAGCCACGCTCACTTTTGGCCTTGTTTAATAATAGTTTTATGATGTATTGGCAGCTTGCTTGTTGTGTTTTTGTTTTGTTTTTTGTTTTTGTTTTTCTAATACGGCCATGTAGGCCTGTTTTGATTAGATAAATGCCTTGTGATTTGTAAGTTATTTACACTCCGATGTGGGTAGGGATCCATATTAGCTCTATGTCTTTGCCTAGTTTATGGAGATTGTCGGAGCGTTTTAGTATCTGAAGTATTAGTTTTGAACATTTTTTGTTTCTTATAACATGGAGCACACTTAATGAGTCTGTTAAGATTAGTGTTTTTTTATGTGTCTTTATAAGGGCGCTGTGTAGGGTTGTTACTGTACCCATTCGTTCGGCTGTGAAGATTGATTGGTTATTGAAGAGCCTATAGGATTTTGTTTCTTTTGTAGGTGTGTTGATGTGGATACCAAATCCTGTGCATTTTGAGTCAGGGTTAGAGGACCAGTCTGTGTATATGTGACACCAATTTGGCCATTTTTCATGTATGGATGCTAGTGTGCTGGATTTAGCGGTACTTGGTTCAGTTTCTTTATTTAGTTTTGATATGAGATATGTGGATTTTGGGGGTTTGGGTATGAAAGCGTTCTTTGGTGCTGTGTTTAGTTAAAATCCATTCAGGTTGTGAGTATTTAAGTAGTTTTTAGAGTTAGCGCTTAGAGTTTTGTGCTTGGTTTGTTTTTAAGCATTTGTTGGATTTGTGGGTTATCTTGGATGGAGGCCCAGTAACTTATTGTCAGTTGTTCTCGGTGCAGAACCAGGGGGATTTTACCTGTTAGTGCCTGCAGTGATGTGCACGGTGTGCCCTGTTGTGAGTGTGTGATTAACCTTAGTGTTTGGTATTGGATTGACTTCAGTTTATTGTTTAATGATGAGTTTAGGTCTTTAGAGCATCTGTTTGTTAGGTTTTTAATGTGAGCACCCCAGGTGAGATGTTCATCAAAGATTAGTCCTAGAAATTGTTATGTGGTTTTTTTTTAATTTATGGGGTTATTGTTTAGTTTTAGTTTGGGGCTGTTTGTGAGGATATATCTGTGTTTGAATATTCTCCCTATCTGTGTTTGAATATTCTCCCTGTAGTTTTTTCGGCATTTAGTGAGAAGGTCGATTTCATTTGCCCATGTTTGAATTTTGCGGATCCAGAGGGCTGAGCTCCGTCATCCGAGTATTTAGAAGTTTGAATTTTATTAGATACTCTCTGGAATAAGTCATTGATCATAATGTTGAAAAGTGTTGGGCTCAGAATGCTGCCTTGGGTCATACCATTCTCTCAGGGACACTGGTCTGATAGCGTTTTGTCAATTCCCACTCTTTTTTTTACGATTTAAGAAGTCTTGTATGTAGTACGTTTATTATTTGGTCTTTAAGTCCTGCTTTTTTGCCCCACCCCAGTGTAATTACTGTATGCATTGTATATTGGGAAAATGGATTCTGTGAGGTTTACAGAAGAATCCTAACCTTAATCTGACTTTAACCCAACTGTACCTTAGTCCAATTATACAGCAACTAGCACGGCTTTCTAGTGTTAAGTAGAGTACTTCCATATAAACAATATGTCGTGTTTTCCTAAAAACAACAGATAATTTATGTGTTTATGCTGTTTACTGGCATTGAGGAAGTACAAAGGAAATAAGATAATTGAACCAACTCAAGTTGAAGAACAAAGGTACACACTGTTGCGTGGATGGCGTCTGTCTGGGCACGCTGGAGTAATCAGTGATGCATAGTTTGACACGAGTGTCATGGACCCGAATAGTGACAATTCACAGGATGTCCATTATGTAATTGCTGGTGTTTGAATGACATTGTCATATACTTGTTACAAGCCCTGCTCAATAAACAGTGATGTGGAATATATATAGTTGTTTGTTTTTATGTCCAAGGTTTATCTTTTATGGTATTTCTGTTATCCAAATTGTGAAGTGAGTCCATCTTATAGTTTAACAATTGTTATATTTGGGATAACACTTCCTCAGTAAAGTACAGATTCTCGTACTTTTTTGGGTTGAGTCCCGTCCGGGATTCGAATCCCGGACGGAACTCAACCCAAAAAAGTACGAGAATCTGTACTTTACTAAGGAAGTGTTATCCCAAATATAACATTTGTTACATTTGACCTCTTTCTAAATGGCATTGTGTATTCACATCTTATAGTTGATAGTCATTTTGAAATATAAATTTGATGTTTAATCAATGCGAGCAAAGACCATTCATCAATTTTCGCATGCATGATTTACAGTATCTATATAAGTAAGTGTCTGTGCAACATGTATATATGCTTACGTTACACATGCTTGTTCATCTAGGATGTGAATCTGCTGGAGGAGCATCTGATGCCACGAAAACACCTGCCCCCTTTGCTGCTAAAGTTGAGTGAACGGAAAGCAGAGAAACTTGACTATCTTGGGGTGTCATATGGACTGACAACTAACCTGCTAAGGTAAATATGTATGAAGATGTTCTCGTTAAAAGTTCTAAGGTTACTTTTTGTTGTTGGAACAACTAGAGAAATGAGAAGTTTTCTAAGTGAGCTGAGTTATGCAAGTGGTATTCAGCAGTAGTATAATTCTTACTAATACAAGACCTCCAGTACATCAGAACCAGGAGTCCTAGCTGTATTGTGCCTGTCATGACACCATAAGGTATTTAGGTTTTCAACAGAAGTCCCCTTCATTGTCAGCTTTCCTTCTCCAGTTGAGATTCTAATGATCTCACTAAACCTCTGAGTATGTGCAGTCTTCACTTATTTCCTGTCTGCTACTGCAGGTTGTAGCAGGTTATTGGGTGGTTCAAGAAGACACAAATTTATTTGCCAATATCAATATTTATCATATAATGGGTCGGTTTCTCGGCAAGATATTGCTAACAGATAAAAACGATATTCGTTAGGTCATATGCGGATAGAGATGCAAATATCAAAGGTCAAGCAGGGGCTACTTTCACTGTTTATAAACAAACATGGTGTAGCCCTTGTCATTTGGCAATCTAGTCAGAATTAACCATCGGGATTCTGGAGAAACTACAGGGATAATTGCTATCATTATGAAAAGAATAGTCTAATATGCTAAAACCCAATGTCTAACTGTGACGTAGCTAAGGCAGTTTACAAGTTTATCAGTGTATAAGAAACAGGTTTCTGTTGTAACTATATTGGCTACTGTCACTGTCCGACTGACACATCACTTACTCTCTGACATTATATATATTAATGCGCACATTCCAGGAAACATTGCAATGTTTAGATAATGTTTGTGAGAGATGTAAAGCAACTTTCGAGCACAGAAATAAAGAATGGTATATGACAGAGAGGTTATCATGCTTGTGTGTTTGGGGATGGTAAATATCCTGTATTAGGAATAAACACTGTATTTAGCGAGCGAACCTGCACATTTGCTGTTTCATTTGATCTCGGCCTTCGGTCTCATAGAGTAGTTTGGGCTATGAATATGCGTGAATTTCGCTAAATACCATGTGCATGACCATACATTTGGGCAGAAAGGGAATTCCCTTGACATTCCGTAGTAATAAAAGCAGTCCGCTTCGGTAGGCATGGCCTAATTTTTTACATTTATTGGGAAATGAATGCAATAACACGTGACCAATTCAGGTAACCAGAGTTCAGGAATTACAATGAACACAACGAAAATTTCATTATTTGCACTTGAATACTTAATCTACAGTCTTAACATTCGTGACAGTTTTAACAGTTGGCAAATTAAAACCCATATCAACAGCCAGGTTAGGTGCTCTCTGAACAACTCCAAGAAAGAAGAGACTTGTTTTGTTTCTGCAATTTATTGATTTCTCTGTATGTGTTGATGCCACATAAACCGGAGCCGTACAACATAACTGGTTAAACCAAAGTTCCATACAGCTTTTTAAACACATATATGACATGCTGCCAGCAGCCTCAAACTCAGTACAGTGCTCTACTGGCAGATTTACCATACAGTTCTCTGACAGATTTCTTCATATCAAGGTGTTCGTTCAAGCAGATACCAAAGTGTCTGTAACACCCAACATACTGAATGGTATTAACATTACATGTGAAAACAAGATTAGATTTCGTTACTGAAGGACATCTAAAATAAGTAAGGATAAGAATTAATGGATGAACAACTACTTTATTACAATTAAGAGTGGCATTTCGGTGTAGGTTCTATCACTTGCTTGATAACGGTGTTAGAACCAACACTGAAACATCGCTCTTAATTTTAATAAAGAAGTTGTTCATCCATAAATTCTTATCCTTTCTTAGTAGTCCAACTTCTAAATGCCTATCAAAGAAGACATCTAAAATGTACAATGTTTGTTTTAGAGTGGAACACGGACATAACGAACTACAAGGGACCAGAGAAATCAATTCGTTATATCCGTTGTTCGTTATACACGTTTTCGCTCGGAAACGTCCGCCATCTTGGATAAGACAAAACACAATACACGTAATTGCAGTGTTACACGTGAATTCTTCATGGTCTAATTTCACTGCAAGTTCGCCAGCTTTGGTCTGCAGTAACGGACCACTAGCTTTCCTCTTACTACTGCCCGCCGTGATAGCATATTCAAGTGAACTGACACTTGGAGACAATATCGTAAAATGTATATGTTTAATGTTTGTTTTACAGATAAGATTACATGTTCAGGTAAGATTAACACAATGCAAATTTAACAAGGTTGATCTGTCACTGCTGATTCGTCGCCATTGTGTTGATTCGCCGCTGATTGCGTACAGCCAATTGTCAGTGACACTTGACCCTGAGTGAGATTTTGCTATACACGTCACTAATGAGTGATAGATGGGCTTGTCAGTGATCAGATATCAGTTCCCTGTATCTGTTAGTTCGCTGTAGAGAGTTCGTTAAATACGTAAATTTTATATGATATTATATAGGAGATAAATCTGGGATTTTTTAACAGTTTGTTGTATCCGTTTGTTCGCTATATCCGTGTTCGTTATATCCGTGTTCTACTGTACTTGCATTTACAGTTAATTTTCAATCTTTGCACAAAACATAAAAGATATTCTACATTGTCTGCAAAGACGTTTTGTCAGGTGCTATAAGCGCTATATCATCTGCATACATCAAAATTGATACCATCACATCATCATGTTGAACACCACAGTCGAGGTTATTAATACAATGGGCTAAGTTGTTTATATAAACAGCAAATAACGTTGGGGATAACTTGCACACCTGTTTTACACCAGACATCAGTAAAATGTTCATTAAATTTAACAACACAGTTAACATTGTCATAAAGAGATGGGATGGCATCTAATATTTTGCCTCATATACCAAGTTGGAACAATTTAAACCACATGCATTCTCGAACAGTGTCAATTGCTTTTTTAAAATCAACAAAGCAAACAAAATGGAATCTTTTTTGGCTTTTCTTGTCTTAATTAAAGATGAAACCATTCTGTTCATCAACTAAAATGTCATTTTTTTCCAACCAATTGCTCAAAACAAGTGTGAAATGTATTTGCATAAATCTTGCCTGGAATTGATATAAGGGTTTTTTACCAGATTTAGGTATGGGATTAACAATACCTTCATTCCACTTGGAGGACACTACTCCGTTATTGTTTGATGATTCTATACGGTAAATCAATACAGGCAGAATTTCTAAGAACCTCAGAAGCTATACCATCAAGGCCACACGCCTTACCACGTTTAACATTAGAAACAGCTTTTTCGACTTCCAACCTGTTGACCTGTTTATTTAAGGCAGATATCCATATATTTATGTTTGTCATAGGGTAACGATTTTTCCTAAAAGTAAAACTTCAGATATATAAGCGATGAAAAGCATCTTTCCACTTATCAAGAACAACATTGTTATCACAAAAGGCAGTGTCATTATCATCTATAACTTCACAGGGAATTCTTTGCTTTCTGTCATTTGCCAGACCTAACTTGCCAATAGATTTCCAAAAGTCTTTCCCTTTATGCTCTTAATATAACGTATCAAGTCTATTTTGCTCTTCAAGAGAATATGCACATTTTGCCCTTCGGTTCATTTTGTCAAAGTCTTTCCTGCTCTCTCTATAAACAGTGCATAAATTTTGTTTAGTTAAAACAGTTTTACTTTTCAACCACTCCCTTTCACGCTTACAAACTAATTCACACCTATCTTGAAGTTCATTGTTCCAATAAGGTTTAGATCTGTCCTGCTCTTTTTGTTATTTGTATTACTTTTTGTTTTTACCTTGTTTAGTTTAGTTTCCATTTCATCAATAATAACACTATGGAATTCACTATATGCAGCATTGGCATCATTTTCCTCATAAAGATCATTTTCTAACTTGTCAGCGTGTTAACCATGCGTGCATGTGGTGTTAATTTCAACCACAGCATGTCATTGTACACTCCATCTGAAACAATAACATCATAGTTTGACAACGATCGCTTATGAACAAATGCCCCAACACCACCAGAATCTCTTTTTGCTCTTTTATCTCTTATCTAAATTATTTCTGTTTTTACCAAACCATTTGTAATCAGGTAAAGATAAAACATAATTATTTATTAAAAATGTTTTACATTTACATAAAATGTCAAAATCAAAATAACTAGCAGTATTTGAACGAAAAAGCCTATTTTCAACATCAGTAAGGGACCACCGCCTACGTTCCAGGAACCAACCCTTATGTCCTAGTTCGAACCCTGCTTTTTGGTTATATAAACACCAGAATTGACAAAGAGTATGTCATCTTCATCAATTTCTTTCATCAGTTTTCTGAGATTTGCATTTTCTTTCATTTCTGTTTGGGATTTACATGGTTCAGTATAAACATTCTTAAACTTGTTTACATTTTTGAGCTTAGCTTTGGCTTTCAAAACTTTATCTTTTTGTTACACAGTGTCCAATGTGGCGATCACAACACCAGGGTACTGCCATCTCACCTTCTTCCTTTTAGCAGAGACAACTTTAACCATCTCAAATCACTTATACCACTTTGTTGTTAGTGATTGATTTTTCTGTGGCCTCATTTTCATGTAATTTTAATTTTTTCAGCATAATACAGCAATTGGAAATGTCATTGTTACCAGCTTTTGGTTTGATGCAGTCTGCATAGGACTTTTCAAACTTAGCTAATTTGCTTTCAAACTGGCTAATATTTGCTTGAAATTCCTTTTTCACATTGTCAACTTCTTCTTTAATCTTGCTGTTAATTAGTGCGGCAATATTATTAGAGAGTGAACGTTCTAGTCTATCCTCTAAACTATCCATACGTCTGGTGATAGTATATTAGCATACTCTGATCTAAGGCAATCACACATATCTCGCACGATTTCTATTGTCTGATTGTACGTAATTTTATTATGAGTTTATGCAATAACGACATCGCCTACTGGCTCATAGTCTAACGCAACCACCTGTAAAAAAACGTGCAGCACAGGATCCTGCATTTAGGCTTGCAGGCCCCCCTGCTGA